CGGGACTGAGTGGCAGAAGAGCTGCTGCGTGACTGGAGTTAATAGGGGAAACTGCGTTAACGCGAGTAAAACAAACTATTATCAGTTTAAACTAAAAGTTGGACTCGATATAGTGTTCCTTACAACTTATCAAAGATCCAGTGATCCATGGATATTGACATGCAGCCAGGAATCGTGTTTCCTGACATTTAAATGTGCCTGATTTCAACGCCGGGGAAATAAATGAAGAAAATTTGCCTGTAAACGTTTTATATAAATACAATATAGATAGGTCTAAATCCGAGTGATCACTTACATTAATGTTATACTGTATATCATCATATCGTCCAGCCCTAAAACTTGTATAGTTTTTTGTCAGTGTTTATTTAAAAACATCCAATTATGCAGAATATAGTCTGTTCTGTAGCTTTTTGCAGTCTGTAAAAATATACAGTACCTCAGATTTCTGGTCAAATCTAGTTGTACAGTCAATCGCAAAGCTCTTTCCCGTTTTAGATGTGTTTTGTGTGATTTTCACGGCATTCACGCTGAAAACAAATGCTGCCGCTCAGTCTTTTTGCCACTTGTGGGCGTGACCGCATTCACTCCGGCCGACGGTGACGTCATGCGCATACCCTCTATAGGTAGGCCTAATATATGAGTTTTGGGGGCTCTTATTTTGTAAAACAACATCAGAATGTCCTGAAACTTTGCAGGGGACACGGTGAGAAGGTGTCCTCTCCATCTGAGGTGGAATTGGTCTGTGGAAATTAGGACTTTTATTTTTACGATTTTCTGAATGTATGGAGACAACAGGTAGGCCTAATATATGAGTTTTGGGGGCTCTTATTTTGTAAAACAACATCAGAATGTCCTGAAACTTTGCAGGGGACACGGTGAGAAGGTGTCCTCTCCATCTGAGGTGGAATTGGTCTGTGGAAATTAGGACTTTTATTTTTATGATTTTCTGAATGTATGCAGACAACAGGTGATATATGAGTTTTGGGGGGCTCTTATTTTGTAAAACAACATCAGAATGTCCTGAAACTTTGCAGGGGACACGTTGAGAAGGTGTCCTCTCCATCTGAGGTGGAATTGGTCTGTGGAAATTAGGACTTTTATTTTTATGATTTTCTGAATGTATGGAGACAACAGGTAGGCCTAATATATGAGTTTTGGGGCTCTTATTTTGTAAAACAACATCAGAATGTCCTGAAACTTTGCAGGGGACACCTTGAGAAGGTGTCCTCTCCATCTGAGGTGGAATTGGTCTGTGGAAATTAGGACTTTTATTTTTATGATTTTCTGAATGTATGGAGACAACAGGTAGGCCTAATATATGAGTTTTGGGGGCTCTTATTTTGTAAAACAACATCAGAATGTCCTGAAACTTTGCAGGGGACACGGTGAGAAGGTGTCCTCTCCATCTGAGGTGGAATTGGTCTGTGGAAATTAGGACTTTTATTTTTATGATTTTCTGAATGTATGCAGACAACAGGTGATATATGAGTTTTGGGGGCTCTTATTTTGTAAAACAACATCAGAATGTCCTGAAACTTTGCAGGGGACACCTTGAGAAGGTGTCCTCTCCATCTGAGGTGGAATTGGTCTGTGGAAATTAGGACTTTTATTTTTATGATTTTCTGAATGTATGGAGACAACAGGTAGGCCTAATATATGAGTTTTGGGGGCTCTTATTTTGTAAAACAACGATAGATGGATGGATGGATGGATGGATGGATGGATGGATGGATGGATGGATGGATGGATGGATGGATGGATGGATGGATGGATGGATGGATGGATGGATGGATGGATGGATGGATGGATGGATGGATGGATGGATGGATGGATGGATGGATGGATGGATGGATGGACGGACGGACGGACGGACGGACGGACGGACGGACGAACTGAAATAGCCTTCGCTGGAAGAATGGTTGATTGAATGGTTTCAGAATGGTTGACTACCTAGTGTATAAGCGCATAGAGAAATATAGGGGCGGCTAGTTTGACCACTCATTTCGAGGTGGAGGCTGGCTTGACTGCAGTCTTATACATGACATTCTTGGAGTGCAATACTCAGTCATTGCGCTACACTAGCAAACCCACTTTAAAAACTAATTAAAACTAAACTGAATTTGAAAACAAAAATTCTAAATGAAATCAAATTAAAAACTAATGAAAAATGCAAAACTATAACAACCTTGTTCCCATATACGTCACACGATGTAATGTCTCGTTTCCTGAACCGAGGTTACGAAAGTAACCGGAGACGTTATTAATGAAGAAGACCATTTTTTTCCCACAAGTTCTAAAGGACTGTATGTAGTAAGGTGTAAGTAAGAACTGACTCAAATAAGGATAAACAAATACGATAGCTTTAACACAAGCAATCAGATTAAAAGTGGTCAAACAATTATATGCAAGGTTACAAAAATAAACCCTAATAAACTGTTCAAAAATAAACTGCACAAACACCATTTTTCCACTCGCCATCTAATGAAATGGAAGCCCATGTTGTGATTTATTTTAATATTTATACAGATAGCGTTATTGTCTTTCATTTCCCCACTAATTCGTTTGGCGGATGTAATGCTAAGATAAGCTTCCACCATCCGTTCTGTTGACAATTTTCCGGTTGACAGTTTGTTACAGTGTTCCACAATATCATGCCATAAACAAGTTGGCACTATAGCATTTTTTCCCAGTACCATAATTAACCATACCATACACAGTGACAAGATTAAGTTGGTCAACCTTTTAAAAAAATTAGATGCAAATATTGCTGTTTTGTGCTTGTCCCACACCCAGACTTCTGATCTTCAATAATGAAAAAGAAGTGTAAAAAAATGATCTATCTATTTTTTTTTAAAATATGACTGTATACAGTATCAGTAAAATAATCAAAACATAATTGTGGTATTTAAGGTCAGACAACTATTAATGCGATTTTATATACAAAATGTAGTTGTCCCACAGTATTGCCGTCATTTCCACCACAACGCTGTAATGTCCCTTTTAAAAGTTTTTTTTTGAAAGATTGTTTGGGTAGTTTCTATGGAGATGAACAATGACATCACAGCACATGTCTAACATGGAGGAGATTTTTTATTTCTTCACCAACTTGGAGAAGAAAACTCAAGGTAAATATTGCTTGAAATGAAAATAGTTTTATTGTATGTCGTTTCCAAACATGGCGTAACATCAACTGAGTTTGTAAATAAATAGATTTTTTAACATAAATAGATGTATTTTGCATGCATGCAATGCTAGCTACCAATTCATAGCTAATCTGTAATACTAGCTTGGATTTTTTTACAAAATACTGCAGGATTATCATTTCCACCACTGTCATTTTTCAACACATTCCTTCTTGGGTGGAAATGACATTTATGCTTACAAGCTGCAATTCATAGATTGTGGGGCTACATATGTATATTTTATTTATTGAAATGTACAATGCTAATGTATTTATTTAAATATATATTTGTTGAAATGCCTATTCATCTATTTTTAAGATGCTGCGGAAGTCAACTGCAGAAAGGTCTCAGTCATATACCAAAACAGAACCAAACAAACTAATGACTAATGAGATTAATGATTTGTTAAATGGAATTGTCTGTTTCAGAAAGTTTCAAAAAAATGTCTTCTGTTTTTCTACATGGACGTCCATTCATTGTCATTTCCACAACACCAGTCATTTCCACCCCCTCATAACTTTTTTAAAAATATATACAAAATTCTAACCACTCATTAAAAACTTCTGCATAGTTTATGGGATAATGGTCCACTTAATGTAATAACACAAGTAGTTATTTTTCTGAAATGTATCTAACCAATCCAATATTATATTTCAGGTTGTGGTGGATGTAAGCTTTGTGTTTGGGGCTCATGACAATTAATTTACTTAATCCACAAATCTATGGTAATTGCAATATAGGTATAAACTGGTAATACTATGTGTGAAAGTGGTCTTACACTGTTAAGAAATGATCTATATCATAATATTTTAAAATAATAATCAAATATTTACATGTGATGGAAATGACATTTGTTCAGTGCGGATCAGAAAATATGCAAAAAAACACCCATTTGTCTTATAATGTAAGTGCGTTCTCTTATGGATCATTAAACTAGACTAGTTATATTTAACTGTTAGACTGGACAATTTTGATTTGAACATTTTTACCCCCTCAAGTTCACAAGGCCAAAAGTGCCTGTAGTTGAAGAACCACCCTTAAATGGGGGGGCTAACAAGAACGTCATCTATTTTGCTGCTGCTCTCTATAATTTTCAAAACAAGAAAAATAAAGCGTAGTCTGGTCAGAATAGGCTAAAAAGCTTAAAGCTCAGATGACATGGCATTTTGTTTGTGATATTACATTGTCTATTTGTGACATTCACATTCATTAAAAATCTAACACAAACAACTTCTTTCTTGAGTAGGCTACATGTTTGGTGTTTGTTGAAGTGCTAAATGTACAGTAAATGGCTTACAATATAACAGAGGCATGCAGAGGGAGCTACAGCATATAGCTTTATTTATAATTAATAGTTTAAATAAAAATATTACAAATTGCATATAAATATAATATTTTTTTACATATTTGAGAACAGTAAAAAAAAACGTAGTCAATTGAAATCCCTCAGCGTGAACAATTACCTTGTCAGTATAAACAGAAGTATAAGGGCTTATCTAAAGAAAACAAAACTCAGGAGTACAAAGAAAACCTTAAAAGAAAGAATAGCTGGCTTGGGTCATGTGAAGACAAAAAAGTAAGCGTCATCATAAATGGTATTTTCCTGACTGAAACAATACATTCCACTGTCTCATGAAAACAGCTCATGTTGTTCAGTTTTATATGACTTGCTTGACTGGATTGATGTATCTAGTGGTAATTTATGTGAAAAAATATCCCCACTACCACCCTAGCCATCCACCACCCCCATCAGAAAACATTTCCATGACATTCATGAACAAACAAGTGCTTCTGTTGCGCACAGCAAAATCTGCGGCACAACATCTATCAAAACATTTTGGTTCATTAAATACTAAGAGGTTGGTTGTTATTAAAATTAAAATGTGATTGCTTGTCTTAAAAACAAAGCCCATATTTACAGAATAAAGTGTTGCTTCATAGCTTTTGTATGACACGCTAAGCATTTATATCAAACATATGTTGCTGTTATGAGGTTTTTACATTCAGCTGTCGATTAATTATAAATACTACATGATTAAATTTATAGACTTTCATTGAAAAATACCCACTTGCTCTGAATTAGCTTACTACTGTTTGGTATAGCAATGTTTGTTGCAGGCAGCTACGTACTTTATGTAGCCTACGTAATACATGAGAATCTTCAAAGTCAGTGCTCAGCATATCATGCCCTTTTTCATATTGACTCATAAAAAAACTGAAACACAACAAACTTAACTTGTATATCGGTTGAGAGGAAAATGTGTCATGCTTCTGAGAAGATCATGAGATGTGATCTTCATATTTCGAAAGGAAGAAGAAAAAACACCAAGAAAGTATCATAACCCCCACGCAATCCTTGTTAATGTCAACGAGCATTTCCTAGTACGACAGCTGGAAAATCTCAGGTGTTCTAGCAGCTGATCTTGAGACTGCGTCATACCGAAATGTCACAATTAAAGTTAACAAGAATATAAGAACAGCTGCCATTGTAAAAATTGGACATGGTCCGTGGATATAACCAATCATTTATGCAATATTTATTGCTCCACAGTCTACCAGTCGTCTCCCCATTTTATGATAGTGATAAATGTTGAGAAGGGTCGCGGATCATAGTTCACCAAATCACTTGGAAATACTCTCACTGATAACTGGTTTGTTGATTGCATGTATATCAGAAGGAAAGTGTTGAGCTTTGCATCTGGTTGACATTCACCAACTGAGTGTCATGTGCAGCTGAAAATATCTCCGGTTCCTCACCATAATTGAGAAGATCCACTAGAAGTTTGAGTTCTACAGTAGAGTCGCTATTCTTCTGTGGCTTTAGAACGAAGTTCACCTGTATGTAGACCAGGTATACACCTTTCTCTCGTATGACCATCCACGTTTTGTTATGGTCCAGAATGCTCTCACCCTGATTCCTGTGGTCCTCCCACTCATCATCCCAAACCAAACGATTATCAGTGTGATTGCAAGCTTAAAAAAACGAATATAAAGATAAACATGTAGCAAACATTCTCATTATGGAATCAGAAAGGTTTATGTAATTTTAGCTACAGTGTGTAATTTTTGTAATATAGCCCAAGAAATGTGATGTTTAGGCCAATGTGAAACTATTTCCTTTCTACATAAAGACATGTTTTTACATAAATATTTTTTAAACAAATGTTACTAATCACCTTTTAGAAGCCATTTTTCTCTCGAGACTTGATGTCTGAACATACTTTCGATTGAGGAGACTGTCAGAAAGAAAAACAAATGAAAGAAAAACATCTGTAAGATTACCACAACTGACCGTATCCTGACTAAAAACAACAGCAATAATTGTTGCAATAATTGTCAATTGACAGCTGAACATGAAATTGCGCGGAAGCAGACCACAAAATGCATTTCCACCAACACACAGCGAGACAGCTCAGATCCCCACCCAAACAGCAGACTACCACAAAGAGCACAGCTGTCTGTTACACATTGTACACTGTCATACATCGTTCAGCTATAATACATTGGAATGGAGATTCTTCAAACAGTAAGAGCTTTCCGAACTTTTATGCTGTTTGGTTTTCTTTTTTTATAATATGCTACAGCTTGACATTTTATTGACAACAAAACGCAGTAAATCATAATCAATTGTGTTTAAATTGCTCAGAAAGTTATAAGTTTTCATGTAGCCTACAAAATGTGTAGGTGCTCTGTGCTGGTTATTGGTATCAAATATTAACCTGGGTGCGATCGAGTTATCTTTTTTTTTTTTTTACTCAAAGTCAAAACAAAGGAGATTCGTAGGCCAACATCTGTTTGACTTAAAACTTTTAATAGGATAGGTGTTTGCTTCAAACTCGTTAGTAGCGACAAAATTTAGGTGAAGAAATATAATGACCAACTAACTGTTAGCCAAAGGGCAACCCGTCTTAACTTTCGATATCAAATGAGACGAATTTACGTAGCCTATATGAAATTTCGTATTTAACAGTCTTAAAAAAAAAAAAAGATGACTTGAAAGATTAGTCTTAGCAGTTTATGCAACCGGCACATGTTTACATACAAATTATTTAATAAAATCTTAAGTATTTAATCTTCTTTCACGTTTTGCTAACTTTGCTAGTGGTGCCAAATGATCATTGGCAATGCCATCCTCAATAGAATAAGAAAAAAACGTAGTTAATATAATAGGCTATTAGGATAAACTTACCATTCACGATGCTAATTCTTTGGCATCCAGACACCTGTTGAAGTTACAGTAAGACATGTCACTCACTATGTCATGTATATTTCAAGAGTAGCCTAGATTGAACAGAAGCAGTTATTTAGAAACACGCCCTCTGCAACTCGACCCATGAATTATTGTCCACATCAAATACTGGAGAAAACAAGGAAGTGTATCTCAGCCAAGGAGACATTATAGTGAACTGAAAATCGGATAACCTTTTTCTCTTTTTTCATAAATACATATTTTTAAAACATGCTTGCTGCTGCAATGGTAAATTCAGTAGGCCTACTAAACATTCGTCAAGCTATTCTTCAAAATGTCCAACACAATCTTGAACAACGCGTCTATTTATTGGCCAAAAATATTAAATTCTAAGGCAGTAGATCCAGTTATATTTACCTTCGACATGAAGACATACGTCAAGCACGATGCGATTAAAATGAGGACCAAAGCTATCGATGTCCATATAATATGCGCTCTAGCTGCGCGCGCTGTACCCATGTCTGCTCCTCAAGATGCTGAAATAACTGCAGTTTCACATTAAGAATGCCTCTTGTAGTCCCGGATGAAGTTGACGACTGTAATGAGATACCAATCTCCCACGCGTTCAAGAGCGCTATTAACTCCACATCACCTGTGGGTGAGATGAGGGTGGATGTGATCCTGGTGACAGTAAACGCGTACCTTTCACTTTGTAAAGAATGTACAAAATTTCTTGTTGTAATCTAGGCCAACATCTTTTTCATTTTATTAGCATTTGTATTTTCATTCATTAATGTAACTGTCTTGCATAAGATTACTAGTCTGGAGTGTCGTCAAAAAAACAAAACAAAAAGAATGCCACGAAAATAAGGAGCGCTGGTTGGTAAAAGGAGGCAGGTCAGACTCCCCCGGAGGAAGTACAAACTTCTTGTACAAACCTGTATGGAACTCAAAATGAGAAATTTTGAAGAATAGATCTATTCTATTCAATGACAATGAATGGAGATATTGAGTCTCAAAAGGATGCAACAATCACTGTAAATGCAATGTATTTGAAGTCCTACAGATAAAGTTTTTTGAGGATTGTGTGAGAACTAAAAGTCATTGAAATCCCATTGGGTCCTATCTCAGCACATTCAGAGATGCAGCAATGTCTGGTGTGTGAACAAACTCAGTTTAACCTAATTTGTTGAATCAGATCTTTTAGTGAAATGTTTCATCCATTCACGTTTCTCAAATTCAACTCATTGAATGATCCGGTCACAGCTGGAGTATATTTTCAGTGAATAACAAAAAATATTCCCCATCATATGGCTTCAGAGGACCAAAAAGCAAACAACCCCCACTCCCCCCACTGACCAGGTCTTCTCCATTTGTATTCTGCAGAATAAAGTGTGACATACAGGTTTGGAATGACATGAAATTTAGAATTTTTGGGTGAGCTATCCCTTTAAGAGCACATATAGACCACAAGACCACCTATTTGGTATTTTCCCTAAATGGTGACTGGAAGTCATAAGATATCTGTAATCAATCACGTAAACAAGGTCACCACACGAATATACATGTGCTCCCATTGGGTGTGGGTGTTAGCAGAAGCATCAGCAAAAGTCTTTGAGCACTGTGCATGTTTAAGTTTTGCTAGGCGCTTTAGGGACATGCAACCTGTTTGTGAGCATCTCACTGTTGATTCAGACACAGATTATGTTTTCCGGTTATATATATATATATATATATATATTTATATGACTCATTTTATCGGTTACTCTTTTTACAGCCCTCACAAGTTAAATTTCCAAAAGAGGGCAGTTTCCCAGATTATATCAGAAAATGCCCGCAAACGTCTTCCATTTCGAAGGCCTACATGGCTCTATGCCACAATGACATCAAATTCCACTCGTCAGCACTCTATTGGCTAAGCGTTGTTGATTTCCGGCGGCATCATTTACTCAGATTGATTTAAATGTCTCGGGATTTTTGATGTGAAATAATGATTCACATTTCTGTTTTGTCTTTACTGATTACTGACCCTATAGAGAAGTAACAGACTTGTTATTTGTTTTTAAAGAACAATCTGAGGACAATGATCTTTATTTTTTAACTGGGAATGATAAAGCTCAAAAATTGAAGGAGGGAGGATGTGTTGGCTTTGCATTATACATCTGGACCACATTTCTACCAACTGAAGTCAGGTATTCTAAATGTTCTCATAAATCGGGATTGAGGGATGATCTTGACAAGAACCTCAACATATCGTGAGCTTAGAATTATACAGTTCTATCTCCGTTTAGGGTAGTTCTGAGATATTGAGCATCAAAGTTTTTACATCCCTGCTGTTTTGTGACACGGAACCTTTTTATTTTATTAATAACTACCAACAAAATATTTTTTTTACAAAAATAACACCACACAGGCATTAATAAACACCTAATGGATAAGATTATGTCAAAAACTCAATTTCGACCAAAAGTGGAGATAGAACCTTATAATTCTAAGCTCACGATATCTCTGTGTCATGGTAAATGTATTTCTAGGAAGACAAGAGAGACATAGGAAAGACTTACTACAACTGCTAGTTTCCACTTCAAGTGCTCTCAATTAGCTAAATGGAAAAATGCAGTGGTAACTGGGACGGGAGATAAGTGAAAATCAGTCGTGCTTTGAATCACTCCCACAAAAAATCTGCTTTGCGTTTACAATATCGCAAATATAATCAACACTATCATCATATTCCTTTATGACACTTCAATCTCTTTTTTACACAAGGGAGCAGGTGACAAATGTAGGGGTGGAGTAATGTGTACGGTTTCAAAGGCTATAATTTCTCCATTACACCTGGTTTCTGTGAAAACTGACTAACAATATTGAGGTCTGAGATTAAGAACACGCTAAAAGTTACATGTAAAATCAATTTGTAATTCACAGCATTACATTGCAATAATCAAAGACGACATCTCTTTTTGCTCATGTCCTCTCTTAGGTAGATTGCACATTGCTACCAGCTCTGTTGCACTAAAGTGATTTGCTGAAATCAAAACGCTGACGACGAAAGGTGAGCACTAGCCAACGAGCCGTACTGTTTGCATGTTAGTCTCACCACTGCCGAGCTCTCAGAGTTTATTTTGCTTGGTCTTAAACCAGGTTAAATAATTTCAAATATTTTGGTTCTTTTTTTAAATGTATTAAATGGCAAAAGTTAAAAAAATAATAACAGGAAGATGACAAAGATTGAACCACATTTTCGCTAATTTATCTCCAAGAGGAGATAAAGAGGATGCTTTTTATTTACATCTAAAATCTTCTCTGAATAAAAGGAAAAATGAATGAAAGTACTTACGGTAGTATGACTTTAAAAAAAGTGATTCAGATTCTGTGATATTTGTTAGTATGTGTGACCCCTTATGGATACCCAGAAGGTGTAGGCGATTGCAGGAATACTCCCCAAGCTATCTACCCCTGACCTTTGAGAAGTGTACAAATTAAAGATGAGAACATTTGTGTGGGTGGGGGGCTTTTGTAGTTATTCTCCACTGGATTGTTTTCATTTTTAGGATTGCATGAAAGCAAATTATTCACCTCAGTTCTTACAATCAACAACAGCCAGAGGAAACATCTCGATATGGAGATTGTGTCGTCCAGTTCTTGTGATCACACATTCACTCTGTATGGTAAACTATCAAAGAAGTTTGCAATATCACTCAATGCCACCTTGGGGCAACCGTTACTAGGCTTAGGGCTGCACGATTAATCGCAATTTCCATGTAATCGCACTTAAACCAATTTGGTGTATAACGATTTTGAAATCGCAAAGGCTGCAATTATTATTTTATGCGCAGCTTGTCATTGATGAGTCACTTGCATTTGAAAAAGCAACACGTGTCAAAAATCTTTCCAAACACGGGAAGCATTTATGAACCTCTTGTCCTACAAAAGACAACATTTAATAACATACTTTTAGCTTCTAAAGAAACATTCTTTTGTGAGATTCATCACCAACCATTTGGCTCAAAAGAAATGGACAAGATCATACAAGAACATAAGAGATCATCTTATGTCAGCCATGGAAAATGCCACACATCAGCATATTGCTCAATGAAACGCAAAATAGTTGCCTCATGCAGCTTCATGTGCCATGTAAGTGAGGAGGTCTGTATTTGAAATGCGTTATAATATGCAAGATGTCTGTACTCAGGCACTCACTCAATTTAACCTACTATCACGATTCTAACACGGATGATGGCATCAGAAACACATGGTCCGTAGATGAAAGTGATGATTATACTGAACAGAAAAAAAGAAACTGAACTGAGCAATATGGTTTACTGTACATGTAAAAAAGGAGTCATGTTTTAACCTTTGATATTTGTGGTCTCACTAAAAGAACATGGCAAACTGAAGTAAACATATATGTACACAGTAAGTACATAAGAAAAGTATGCACTTGCTGCTAAATTGTAACATATTTAGAGATGACTTTGGTATGTACACTACATAATAATGATGTTATATCAGATTAAAGTTATATCAGGTTAAAATGATATCAGATTGATGTCATTAACATGAAATACTTATGCTCATGCATTTTGATAAATGTATGGCATTTAGTTTAGTTTGAAAAACTGATTAACGATACAAATAAACAATGAATAACTGAATATTAAACAGAATTCTAGTCAAAGAAATACACAATATAATTATACAAATTGTATACAGGCCTGTATTTTTAGTTGAAGGAATGCCATTATAGCAACAGACTATGAATTCAGATTAAATGAGTTTGGACAACTGGACTTTAGGTTATGATGAATAATGTTTTAAATGTACACCTAATTCATGGAATTATTAAATAACTCAATGAGTTATAATGATTATTAATAAAACAAACATAACAAAAAACAACAACAACATGCCCTTTGCCCAAATCTGTGGAGTGTTTAACCTTATTTCAAAATAAAATATTTTTTACTGTACAAATTGTCTTACAGTGTCAAATTCCCATATTAACAAATAAACATAAACACGTTAAGCATCCAACATAAAATAGATTTACAGTGGCTCAAACACAACTGAATATCTTTCAAAGATTTGATGACACTGCCCTTACAAAATTGACTGAATCCAGGGTTTCATTTATCCACAAAAGTCCAGTAAATTCAGGACATTTTTATTTAAATTCAATTAAGTTGAAGCACGTGCATTTCACAAGTGCTTTTTGTGCTCAGGACGAATCAGATGTCCGGGAAACAGACTGGTGCGGTTCAGGGGCTGGAACTAGTGCATGACATACAACGATATAATAATAATAAATTAATAATAATAATGAAAGCACAAATTATAGTAAAACTTACTTTTATTAAAATCTTTCACAGAGCTAGTTGTGAATGTGGTGCACCATGCATACTGCACAATGCATACAATGTAAGATTAAGACACCGTTATGACGTTAGTCCCTATGTGCGCGCACAAGTATGCTAGACACAGAAACAAAAGTCGTTGCCACAGTACCACTACGATAGCAGCCTCCTCAAGACAACCATTCTGTACATCTAATATTTACATAGTTTTGAACCAAGACAGCTTCAGGACTGTGGAAGTGGGGGGTAGGGGGGCTAAAAGACGATATCCCAAGAGTCATTTGAGATGCAGACAGATGAACTATTGCTCCTTTCTTAAAGTTCGGGCCATCTCCTACAGAGAACGTCCTTGTGCATACACACCCTTTCATATGTCTTTTGCTGACTGACACTAACCTAACACTCAGCCCCCACACATACACCTACACACGCAAACACGTGCACTTATTCATTCACTGAACCATTGGATCAACTTGGTTTAGCCTGAGCTACTAAAATGGCAGTGATTGATTACTGTCCAGTAAGGCTGTTAGACACAACAGCCATTATTGCTCATCTGATCATATTTGTTCTCCTCCTCTGTGACACACAAACTGACCCTAAGCCATCAATCTGAGAGAGAGGTTCGTCCAAATAAATTAAACAAAACTGTTAAACTCTCCCAACCAGACATATTGATGTGTCAAGTGCACACAACAAGGCATGGCACCTTTCAACAGGTGGCTGATGATAAGTCACAAGGGAAAAGTGTATTGCAGAGAAATTGCTGAAAATAAATAAAACAAGTCAAATTCCATACATTGTGAAACAGTCCTTTAAATCGCCTTTGTCGTTGTAAGACTGTGACAAGAATTAGCCAGACTCTCTCCGCCTGAGACTGACACACACAGATCCTCTTTGGCCTGATAAAAACAAATAATCCTTTCTCGTACGCCGCTTCGGCAAGAAAGCATCTGCATAATGGCAAATGAATACAAAAGTCATTCAGCATCTGCCATTCAGTATTCTGTATTTCCATTGGATAATACACAAGCCAGGTCTGCATGTCAGGTCCAGCGTAATGGCGCCCCCTAAAGTCATGCACATGTAATAGCATGTATGGTATCCTTGTGCTGAAGCAACACTTAAATGGTGTGGTTTACACACAACACAAATGATATCCATCCTGAGTTTGTTGAAAACTAATGTCTTCTCTGTGTATTTAAAATATCCACAGCATTTACAAAAGGAACGAGGGAATGGACGTATGGAAATGTGCATTTGATTGATCTAACCAGACATGCTTCAGTGTCTAGTATTCTGTTAGCGAATTAGTCTCTGCATCTCTCCTCTTTCTTCAAAGCAAGACAACATATTTCACCTCTGAGTTGGGCCAAGGTCCTCAACAAGGCAGGATGTTTAACTTGGCTTTTCAGTCAGATGTACTGCTCATGTTCTTTATTCACTAATGGCTCTTCTAGCTTTGGAGTGCTTGTGTGAGTGTTTGCATTATGTCAGATGAGAAAAACAATGTCATTTTATTCATCAGCATAAAATGAAAAAAAATATATATATATATATATAATTTGGGGGTCCACATATCCATAGGTCCACAACCTGGCCAGTGTCAATCCAGCGCTGGTGTAGCAGTCCAGTTTCTGCGTAAAAACAGTAAGATCTGTTACACCTTATACAAACTACCAGGACCGGTTAAAGCAAGCTGTCCGTTGCCCACGTCACTAACTTCATCCTCTAAAAGCCCTGATACATCTGCATTCGGAATGCTGTCGTGATAGCTGCTGAAGCTAATGTTGTCCTCCTTCAGCTCGATGGTCCAGAACGGGGCGTTCAGCTTGCGGTTCTGGTATTCCCTGTAAGTGTACACGCCACCCACCACCGCCAGGAGAGCTAGCACAACTATGATGATGACGGCCAGGATGATGATGTTGAACTGGTTCCATGGGAGTGGAGTCACTGTGGTGGTGGTGGTGGTGTTGGGGGTGGAGCTACCCAGGCTGCTCAGCAGGCTGCTGGAGGAGGTGGTGAATTGTGCTGTAGCATTAGGGCTGGAGGTCATGGTGGTGTAGTGAAACCAGTGGGGAGTGGTTGAAGGAGTAGTGTGGATGACTATGGACACGGCAAGAGAAAGAGAAGGACAGTTTGAGAAAATATGCATCTAATGTAATACCACATATCCAAAAAACCAAAAGTTAATTATTTATACGCCAGTGACTTTCTGGTGGTGTGGCGGACAGAGCAGTGTTTCCTGCACCACTGAATAAGTGATAAGAAGGTGGTGTACTGTAAAATAAAGGCAATAAAACACATCTTTATAAAACACGTCTTCGCGGGCTGCAAAAAAAAGAAAAAGAAAAAAAGAACTTTTTCCAGTATAGTCTAATTCACAAATAAATGTCTCTCACAGTTCTTTTAATGAATCATTAAAAAAAAAAAAAAATCTTTACTGAACTTCTGACTCACTTACTGAACTGCAAGTTATCATTACTTTCATCTCGAAATGAAGCAAATTTCATGTACTTACAGATATCACCCAAAAATTGTAATTCTGTAATTAAAAAAAAAACTTTTAAAAATTAAAGGATACAAAAAGGTCATAAAGTTGAAAAAAAAAAATCCATATGAATTGAGCGTTTTAATCCAAATCCTGTGAAGAGATATGATCGCTTTATATGATCAAACACATACATAAGGCACATCACATTCGGTAAACATGGAAGTTCATGCACATTTAAGCTTCCACTAAAATATGAATAATTAATAATTATATTATAATTGTATTCTAATTAAAATGAATAATTAAATTTCCCCCCCAATTTTTTTTACATGTATATTAAACAAGTCATTACATAAAAAAGCTTGCTTGTAACTATATATATATATATATTCACACTACCTAAAGCATGCACAATTATTTCTACATCTACAATCGTTTTGATAAACATTTGAGACATTACCGTTAAATTTTTCCATCTTTCACTTGTGCATTTTTAAAACAGCTACCAAAAACAGTATTTTCAGACTTGTAACATTCCACACTAAAAGTTAACATCACTGCCAGTGAACACTAAGAAAATTGCAATATATGTCATAAATGAAAGATTAAGAGAACAAAAAAAGAGAAGAAAGGAAGTGAAGAAAGAAAGTAAGAGGGTGGGAATAAAGGAGGGTGAGAGCAGCAAGTCAGTCCCATGTGGAGCCCTGATCTAGTGTAATGTAGAGAGCAGATGCTTCACACTGGAAGAAGATTCACAGGCAAGAACGATTCCATCTGTTCAGTAGAACAGACAATGTCAGACTGCATGCCGTGTACATGAAGACTGAAAACATACTTCAGCCATTCACCTCAGAAAACATGTTAGTTTTATTATTGATGTACTATTATAGTATTTATTAATATTTTGAATTTGCTTTTATTTGTACACTTTTATTTTTCATTTTAAAGCTGCAGTCCGCAGTTTTTCCTCTTTGTCGCCATGTCTGTTCGAAATCTGCAATTGCAGTCATTCGCGGAATTATCAACTTTACGTGAGTTGTACCTCGGCACGGCACAGCGCGGATGAATCCAATGTTTTGAAGAGAATGTGCGGCTGTCAGTCACCGCGCTGGTGTGGATACTGGCATACAGAATCACAGATTCTACTTTTTGGAAGTATGACCAACATAAGAAATTTCACCCTACAATTTCATCTGAACAAGTGAGTAACATCCACTTTTGTTCTGACCAACTAAGATAAATTACTTTGACCATTACTGAAAAAAAGCATTGCAGTAAAACGCGCTGATTAAATCTAACAATCGCTTATCATATCACGCAAAACCGTGCAAATTATACTTTGTTCTCAAAGCATTGCGTGACTACATGTAATGTCCTTCCGATATTTATCCTTGTTTTCGCATGGGGCCGGTTGCAGTCTCTTTTTCCAAACTCTCAGTCCAAAGTCTTTTGCATTTTACAACGGGTTAATCTCTAGTTGTCACTGGTGATCGTCGTTTGAACCTTTCTGGATCCGCCATCAAATGAATAAGTTTAATTATATCAAGTGCTGTGAGAAAAGGCTATAAATCTCGACCTTCAACATCCTTACACGCATTATAGCCTACTAGCCGAGACTCTTCTTTATGTGTACAGATGTGACGTAATGACGCAAAGACATGCTCGAATTTCCCGCAGAAATCCACCAGTACCACTGGAATTAAAAACACTATTACAAGATTACCATTTTGAATCGAGATAAGGCAAACAGATAGTTTTGAAGACTGGCTGGTTATGTACTTGCTCAAAAAATTATTTTGGATAATTTTTAACTCAAAAAAGTTACGGACTGGAGCTTTAGTTTGTTTCCGTAATCTTGTGTTTTTGTTATTAGTTTTTTCGATATAGCTTTAATTTATTTTTAAGTTTTAGCTTTAGTCATTTTAGTACTTCAACTACTTCAGTTAGTTACCAAGGTAAGATTTTTTAATTCGGTTGTCATATAATATTAATCACCAAAACTGGAAAGTTTTCATTTAGTTCACAATAACAACACTGTCATTATGGGAGATGCCATTTCAAAGATTTTTCAACCATTGTTTGAAAGTCAACATTTCCACATGGAGTTCCATTACAGTACCGTTATCAGCAGTGAATGGCAACATGGTTGTTCTGTATAAGCAGAACATCTGGATAAGGAGCTCAGACAGGCCAAAAAAGGGAGGATTTATTATTGTTGGCTGAGTGGAAAGATTTACGAAAAGAGAGTGTGGATTTGGCCGACTTACTGAAGTGATAAATCACTATTTTCTTCATCCTCTCTCTTTCATATATCCACCCTGCTGTCCTTGTTTACTGTTTGGCAGCCCGAGTCAGCCTGCCTATGGAAATGTATGATCTGTCCTCTTTACAGTACACCACTGATAGAATCAGGTGCGCACAGACGGATGTTGTGAGTCAGAACGCTGATCTGGGATTAGTCATTCTACAACACATCTTTTCCCCTCTCTGAAAACCACAGTCACTTAACATGCAAGCTCTTTTCAATCACCCCTTGAAATAGGTGATTAAAAATAACACTTCCTGTTCACACAATATATACTGTAAGGCTGGGTAACATCAAGGTCTTCATGATGCATGATATATTCAATACACTGCAATACAACTGAAACCGCACCAAAAAGTGTGGCAGAGAGAGAGAGAGAGCGAGAGAGAGAGAGAGTCAGTTTCAAACTCTCTCAACTGGTGTTCACTTCACTTTTCTTCATTTCACAGTCACGTAGAAGTGGCTCTCTAACTACTGCACTGACAAATGATAGTTTTACAGTTACAGCTTCATCTTTAATTGAATTGTGGAAAATGATATGAATGAACACAAAAAAATGATTAAGTACAGCTGCAATTTTGCCAACAAAAAAAGAAAAGAAACCTGCGATATATCAATCAACAATGACTGATTCGGAACAGCCCTAATATCCCTTCCTGTAGCAAAAATCAATCCATTATTATCACTAGAGTTTTTACGCATATTAGCCCAAATGTATAGTCTTTGGCTCTCACCTGTACGAGTGCAGTTCCTGGTGAGCGCGTCTCCCGTGAAGCCCTCTGCGCAGCGCTCGCAGTGCGGGCCCGTTGTGTTGTTGATGCAGCTCAGGCAGTGGCCCGTGTCCGGGTGACAGACCCGAGGGGACAAGCGGGGGTCTCCGTTCCCGCTGCAGTTACAGGGAAGGCAGATGCTGTCGGCGTTGTAGAAGCCATCACTACACTGCTCACAGTTGGGACCCTGGTACTCCGGCTTGCACTGGATACAGAATGGCTGGCCGTTTGAGTCTAAACACATGTGTACACAAAGAAAGGTTAGGGTGAATTAGAGGAACCAGACACACCTGCTGGTAAAAAAAAAAAAAAAAATTTCAAGTATACAAGACAAGTGTTCAAGTATACAATTTTTACTGAAATTGCCAAAGGACTTCTGCTATAAAAACAGACATTTAGAGACACAGAGTTCATTTGACCACCAGATGGCAGAATCTTATAAGGATGCAGAAGGCAGTTTGAAGGGAAACTGAGGTCTTTGTTTATATTAGCCTATATTGAGTTGTCAGATGAACCTATCAACCTCCAATCATTCTGTAAAAGTGTTATCTCCTTTGCATTTGACTGCAGACCAAGTTATCATCTAACTGGCAAAATCCGGGCTTTGAAAAGGTCCGATGACTTAAGCTTAAGTGAAATGAAGTGAAGACACCCTTCCCCATGCAAAAGTACTGCCTACAGTCTTCAACAGCACATCTGCAACTAAAAGAAAGTAGTACACAAACAAACTGTACAGTAAATAAAAACATCCACTTTGAAACCTGCTTTTACAGGAAGCCACGTACTGTAGATAAACATCTTTCTTTTTGTCTGATCACACAACTATGATGAAAATATATATAATATAAATGTTATAGAAATTTTACAATTGTCAGTTGTCCACTAGGAATAGTGCTGAAACACAAGATAATATGATTAATGCATAAATGTTGTTTTTCCATTTCTAACAAACCTAACAAAAACGATCATGAACTTTCAACTGTTCTGTATTCATAGAACAGAAATGTCACATAAAGGGTGGAAACTGAAAGTAGATATACTGTAGTGTGTATAGTGTGACCTGGCACTGCAATTAAACCGCTTGCAACCAAAAGAGACATCATAAAATCAGCATGATGATTATATGACTTCTGGGAAAGTACTGAGGAACTACTGATAAATGTATAGTGTACTATATGTTTATTCTAAAGTACTTGAATCCCAATGATTATTCTCAAGAGCAATATCACATCGTGAGACGCTTCAGTGTCTGACACTAAGGAAATTAGTTGTCATCTAGTGCTCATTTGAAGTGATTACTTTCTGTGAAGAAATAAATAGGATAGATGAACCAGAAGAGGCGATTTAATGAGAACAGCAGCCTCAACCAAACATGTTTTTCTCTCTCTTTCTTTAGGCAAAACTAATTGGCGGGCCAAGACAGAACCTGTAAACCTTTTTTGCATTTTTCTGCACTGATCTGGGGAGCACGTACATACATTTTCAAAATAATAAAGTAAATAAAGTAATAGGGTATACATTACCATTCAAAAGTTTGGGGTCAATTATATTTTTTAGTGTTTTTGAAATAAGTCTCTTATGCTCAAAAAGGCTGTATTTATTCGATCAAAAATACAGAAAAACAGTAATATTGTGAAATATGATTATAATTTAAAAGAATTGTTTTCTTTTTTAATTAATATGTTATAAAATGTAATTTATTCCTGTAATGGGAAAGCTGAGTTTTCAGCAGCAGCCATTACTCTCATCTTCAGTGTCACATGATCCTTCAGAAATCATTATAATATGATGATGTGATTTAGTGCTCAAGAAGCATTATTATTATTATCAATGTTGAAAACAGTGTATTGAACAGTAAAAAAAAAAAAAAAAAAAAAAAAAAAAAAATTATATATATATATATATATATATATATATTACATACATTTTCTTTTGCTATCTTTTGTAACAGTATAAATGTTTTTACTGACACATTTGATCAATTTACAGTAATACATCCTTACTGAACAAAATGATCAATTTCTTCAAAAGAAAACTGTACTGGCCCCAGTAGTGTAATGTACATTTTGAATGACAGGATAGCCTTAATAAATAAGGACATTAACGAATACAAAAGTAATCAAATGCATCCCTCCTACCATTATAAAACACACACACACACACACACACACACACACACACACACACACACACACACACACACACACACACACACACACACACACACACACACACACACACACACACACACACACACACACGCACACACACACACACACACACACACACACACTGCACACACACAAAATCAACAACACTGTGCTTGTTCCCAGAATTTCAAAACTAGAAGAAAGATTCGATTTTATACCCTGGCCCATTGAAGGGGAGGTCAAATAAAAGGAATATGAGAGAGAAGAACTAGTAGGAAAAAAGAAGAAAGGGACAGTTAAAGCAAAAACCACGTTGAGCCATACATAAAGAGCGAGCTAGAAGCAATAAGACATACTGTATGCAGTACCTGCTGTGAATCAAATATATCTGGCAGAGAGGCAGTTTTTACATTACATATGGAGAAGGGCAGTGAATCAGGGAGCGCTATGAGCCTAAATCCTATCATCATTTGCCCAGACTCAGCACCTGCATACAGTCGACAGCAGGGTATAAAACCCAAACCTCCAGGCAGTGATGTACACCCAGGGACTACTACACTAGAAGGACCAATTTTCCACATTTCTCAAGCATGAGGGCAATCACCATCATGGTAAGATAATGACACAAAGGACGGAGAGAGACTGAGGCAGAAAGCAGCCCATTTAGATATACATCATCACGACAGTAAAACAGCCCCGTAGGGACAAAGAGCTTTCAACTTAAAACTATTATCCCAATACAGAATTAAAAACATTCACACAAGAGAATGAAAGAACAAAGAGAAAAGAAACTGACTGCTTGAGCTGTTGGTGACCAGACTGAAATCAATGTATACACACACACACACACACACAGGCTCCTTTTGTTTGGTCTCACCTTTATGTATTTATTCCAAAAACCTTTTTTTCGCTTCTTTCGGCACCAGCAAAAACTTGACAAAAAAATTAAAAACTGCTCAGCACAGCATATGTCCCAACATGTTACAGCATACAAAAATTTCCGGCTACACAAGATATCCTTCCTCATGTTGATGTGACTCGTGACGATAATGTCTAAAATGAGGCTAGCCAATGTTTGACCATCTCATAATTACTTTGCCAGCAACAGCTTCTTTAGTGTGGTGGTGACTTTTACCTAGTAGTTTTTTCAGCGTCACGAGCGTAGGCACACATGACACACCATCTCAAACAGGTATGGACATGCTCACGGCTAGAATCGTTACAACAGTTTTAACACTTCCTGACCAAAGTGAGAATAAAACCCCCACAAATAAAACACATAATGAAGAAATAGTTTGAGTAAAGACAGAGTAATAATATACATAATGGTTTTAGAAATACATTTAAATGTAGGCCTACAGTAAACAATACACAAAGTGAATAGAGTCAAATTACTCTTCTGCTATATGAAGACTTATTGTCCTATATTTTCATGTTTTAAATATCTGCTTATTTTAACAGCTCACAGTGTACGTTTCACTCTCTCATCATCTGTCTATCATAAGGTGCAGACAGAAAGAAAACAGCAGTGACAAATAACAGACTTTTTCACAGACTGCTGAATCAAAGCTGAAGCTCTGGTGGAACAAAGCTGGCGACTTATAGCAACTGACACTGCGTGGCAGATAACAAGCCTACCAGTGCTAGGTCATTTCCAATGCAAATTCAGCCAGCATATGCAAATCAAACATGCATTTCACTAAGGAAATCTAGCATTAGCAAGGAGAGCAGAGAAAATCTGTGCCACTTGTAAATAAAAAAGACATTACAATTTGCTGAGGAACTTTCAGTTCGGAATGATTAAATTAATATCTAAACTACACGCAAATGCCACTTAAACTATGCCGCGACTGTACATCTTTTAATTTCTGCCTTAAAATAAGTGAGATGTTTACAGTAGCTGGGAAAGAAAGAGTCTTGGATGATGTCAAAAGCTTGAAACAAATAAATATAATATACACACACACACACACACACACACATATACATACATTCAAAAGTTTTATTTCTTCTGTTTTGGAAAGGTTTCTTATGATCACCAAGGCTGCATTTATTTGATCAAAAATACAGTAACATAAAACCGTAATATTGTGAAATATTATTACAATTTAAAATAACTGGTGTTTATTTGAATATATTTTAAAATGTAATTTATTTCTGTGATAAAAACTGAGTTTTCAGCATCATTACTCCAGTCTTCAGTGTCACATGACCCTTCAGAAACCAGACTAATATGATGATTTACTGCTCAAGAAACATTTCTTATTATTATCAATGTTGAAAACAGTTGTGTTGCTTAATATTTTTGTGGAAACCATAATTATTTTTTTCAGGATTCGTGGATGAATAGAAAGTTCAAAAGAACAGCAGTTATTTAAAATAAAATTATTTTTTAACAATATAAAAAGTGTCTTTGCTGAATACAAGATGAATTCAAAAACACAAACTACCTACCTACATACAGTACATTCAACAAAATATATAGAACATTAAAAGCTATTATTTTTTAGATATTCAAGAATATGTTTAGAGAGCCATGGATAGGTATATGTTTTTTTTTTTAACTGACATAAATAAATAATTGATAGAATAATTTTTCATTTAATGTTCTGCTGCATCTACCTTATAAAGCCCCTCCAAACTCCAGACAGATCATATAAGGTCCTTGAAACCTTACAAATAATGACTGACAGCTGGTTTGGAACAGACATTGACAATGGCATTTACATATTTATGAGACCTTCTGTAGAAGAAACCTAGTGAGAAAGACCTAATGAATATGGTTAAATATGTACAGTATTGAAAGATGAAGAGTTGCAACTTAGATCCCTAAGCTGTCAAAAGAGAGTTTAATAATTTCATATTTTAAAATCTCATCCACCTAGTTCATCAAACAATAAGCAGTACACGACTACATGGATTTATAATGGAAGATGTGAGAGTTTTACTTGGGTCTCACTCTCAACAAATCATGTGTGTGTGTTTTTGGAGACATCATGGGTTTTGATTTAACAATGTACAACATAATCTGTCAAGGCTATTTCATGGTAACAATAGGAGGTACTAATAATGACTTGTTCGCCG